TGTACTGAAAATTCTGTGTCAGGACTCAGTGAACATGCAACTTACTTCCGTGGGTATGGTGGATTTAGCTTCTTTATTCTCTTTGGAAACCTCCTAGGACCCTATCAGGTGACAGTTCCAAATCTCTTAAATATGTTAAGTCCACAAATGAACCTAATTGATAAGGTAAAGAGAGCAATCTGACCTTAAAATGAAGAAACAGATTCAAGGAGTTCAAAAGTTTTTAGGAAAACATCTGACATTATCAATCATGATCTTGACAGATACCTCCAAGATCATGTATCTGTTATCTATCTACCCCCAACGCCAAACCATAGTGCATTTCGCCTAAACCCCTGCACTAACTTCTCTCTGAATTGCACTTCTTAAACTCTGGCTGATAAATCTGCTTATCTCTCATGATATATCCTGAAATTCTTTTTCGGTGAAAAGATTCAATGAACCTATTCCACAGGGCTCAGGGATGGTTTTGGGTAGGAAAATGTGGTCCCTGTATCCTGTCTGGATCCCATCTGAGGGCATACATGTTATTAAGTGCAGCCTTATATATTGTTTTTTTTTAGTTTTTATTACCTACCTGTAGACTGGATCATGAATTTCAAGAACTCTCCAACTAAGAACAAGAACTGTTTTCCTGAAGCCCTGTAAGCTGAAACTGGACAGCTCAATGTAAATTACAGTGACAAGTATCATATATAAAGTGTGGGCCAAACAGAGCTTTTCAAACCACTTGATGCTCTAAGCAGGGGCAAATTGCACATCAGAAGCTGGGTGTGGTGGTACATGCCTGTAATCCCAGCATTTGGGAGGCTGAAGCAGGAGGACTGTCACAAGCTTAAGGCCAGCATGGGCTATTATTGAGACCATTTAAAACAACAAAAACCAAAAATCAAAAACTGTACATCCAGCTCAGAAATTGACGACCTCACATTAGATGGCTCACCCCAGCGCCAGGAAGAAAACTAGATTCTTATGCCTCTTGATTTGTCCTTGCTCCTACTGCCCTTTTATTTATTTTGTTACTGAGGATCAAACTCATGACCTAGAGCTTGCCAGGTAGGCACTGATATTACTGAGATAAATCCCCAGCCCTATCTGCCCTTTTCACTTGGCAGGATAATGCTATACTAAAACTTCAGTCTCCTCTGCAGGTTGTTTGAAATGGGTGGGACATTACACTTTTCTTTTAGTAACCCTTGCAAAAGAACAACCTGACTTTAACCTATACATTTTATTTTCTTATCTTTGTCTCCTTCATGCTGCACAAATCCCACCGTTTTGCTACTACATTCCATGGGGTCCTCAGCCCACACTGTAGGATGGAGGCTGCCCAATTCATGAACCGAACAGCTCAATCTGTTACTGGATAGGGGGTCTTGTCCAAGTTCTTGATGTCCTGGGCAGGACACACGCAAGTAGCAAAACTGACTTTTTTTTAGGGTACTAGGGACCAAACTCATGACTTCGAGATTACCAGGCAAGGGATTGAGCCACTGAGCTAAATCCCGGGCCACAGAAGTAGCAAAATCCAATTGTTACTGAAAGTCAAAGTATATGCTAGCAAAGTGGGAGCAGGCCAAATGCGAAGTGCTCTGGGGTGGAGGATGAGTCCTTGGGTTGGTGTTGAAGTTCTAAGCATTAGGGTTGGGGGAGGTGATGAGGGTATGGTCTGGAGTTTGATTCCTGGCAATGAACCACTTGCCTTTGCTCCTTCGTGCCTGGTGGTTTCAACTCTTTTTTTTTTTTGTCTTTTTCCTTTTTTATCGGTACCAGGGATCCAACTCACGACTGCCTGCTTGCAAGGCAGGCGCTTATGCCGCTGAGCTAAATCCCCAGCCCCTTGGTTTCAACTCTTTAGGACCCTTGGGAGACCAGTCACAGCCTGGATTAAAAGTTAACTGAGATCAGGTCTTTCTAGCCCAGAAAGCGAGCTCCAAGGCAGACTCTCTCTTCTACCATTCTCCTCCCTCACATCTATTATTGCCCTCCTTCTCCACAACGTGGATTGAACCCAGGGCCTTGCGATGCCAAAGAAATACTTTAGCACCGATTTGAATCCCTAACCCTTTATAAGAATTTTACTCTCAGCCGGGCGTGGTGGTGCACGCCTGTAATCCCAGCACTCAGGAGCCTGAGCCAGAAGGATCTTGCGAGTTCGAGACCAGACTGGGCTACAAAATGAGCTCAAGGCCAATCTGAACCGCATAGAGATCTCAAAAAGACAAAAAAAAAAAAAAAAAAAAAAAAAGAACTTTACTTCCTAAATTATCTAGATAGGCTAGCTTTCGGCCCTCCTGCCGCAGCTCCCGAATAGCTAGGGTGATAAGCGTATGCCACCAAACTGGCCCAATATAACTACGTGTTGCAGTTTCCCTTTGACCTGGATTTCCCTTTTCTGCCTTTGAAAGCGTTTTCGTACCTCCACCCTCCCAGGACTTGCCCTAGTAGGCCACGCGTGTCCCATATGGTATCCCCGAAACGTTCCCGAGAAAACCCTTTCTTCCCGAAGAGCCGGCCTCTCGGAACCTGTGTCTGAGAAGTAAGGTGCCGAGTCATCCACACTCATACAAGAAGAGACCGGCGCGGCGCGGTGCGGTGACCCAGGAAAAGGGTTGGCGCGATTTTATGACGTACCGGCGCGCGAGGGCTAGAGTGGCAGGAGGCACGTTCCTGCGGGGTGGGAGGAGGCCAGCGTGGGCGGGACCGGCGCGGCGCGGCGGCACCAACCCTCCGGCTGCATACCGGTTGGCACGGCGCTGACGCAAACTTGGTAGGCGGCCGCGGGCCGGCGCGGCGCCGTGACGTGCGTCCCGCATGCTGTGGCGCCCGCTGGCCAGACTGGCGGCCGCCGTCCTGGGCCGGGCCCGCGGTGACGGTGAGTGCGCACGTCGTCCTCCCCTTGCTCCGTGCGGACACGGACTCGGACACGGACTCAGGCGCCCCCCCCCCCGCCAGGCGTGACGACGTGGGCGTGGCAACGTGACGCGCGCTTCCAATTCCAGGCGCGGCCTGCCTGCTGCCACGGCCACTCGCAGAGGTGGAGCTGCCGGGCGCTCAGCTAGGAGCAGCCTGGCAAGAGAGAAGGCCGCGCGCCTCTGTTCACCCTCGGGGACCGCCTGCTGGCCGTGCCCTCTGGAATCTTCTCTGACTTCCACTTGCTCTGCGATACACAGAGAAGTCTTTGCTTGCCAGTCTCCGAGCATTGTGGGTTGGGATAGGCTCTGCCTCCCGCACTCTCCATCCTCTTCCGGCTGCCCGCCCACACAGGCCTGGCCCACCCTGGCGGGGCCGCGCGAACCAGGACTGTGGCTTGAAAAAAAATACCAACGGTTTCCTGGAGTTGTAAAATGGAATTCAGTTCATTTCCCTCCAGCCACACCCAGACTTTAGTCTGTTTTGGCACAGGGAACATAGCAAAGAAACACGTTTGAGATGATTATGGAAACGGAAGGCAGGATGGGAGGAGAGCGACCCTGGGCAGGAGGAAGGAAAGGGGGTGCACCCGGATGTAGGAGGAAGGTACCCTGCTGCCGGCGCTGCATCCTCCTGACTCAGGACCTTGGTCGCCCCTTGGGTCAGTCTTAGTTTCCCCCTGGGTCATTCTCTTCCCCTGTTTGTGTTGGGATTCGGTTTCCCCTCTGAATGAGACCGTACCTGGCCCACCCCTATGCCCTGCTTTTCCCACTCTGCCGTCCTTGTCTTTGCCCTTGACTGAGGGTTATCATCTGGTACCCCGTGCAGGGCTCAGCCCATTCTTTGCTGTCCTAGAGAAGAGAGCGTCACACCCACATTCCCGAGCTGCTTGTTGCGCCCCCGGAGAGAGCTGGAGAGAGCTGGAGGGAGCTGGGAACCCTGTTTTGAGAAGGGGTGCGCCCTCTGGGGGCATTTCTAGGAAATTGGGTGGGAGGTTGAGGTAATGAAGAGCCTAGGCTGGGGCCTCTTGTGGAGATGGCTGTCCTCAGTCTCCTGTGGAAATGACTTGCCTCTCGGCCCCACCTCAGTTGCAGGATTTTTGGATTCTGGCCTGGCAGAGGTTTGGGGCTGAAAGAGCAGAGTCTAGAGTGCCTTTCACCATCTCCCCTAAAGACCCCCTCCCCACATTTGGCTTGCCTGTGGAGTGGGTACAGGGCCAGAGTCAGGCCCAGGGGTTTTGTCCTGCTCTGGGCTGTGAGACTTGGGGCTCAGGTGTATCCCTGTGGGAAGTGGCTGTGGGGCAGTCCTGTCACCCTCCCCAGGGTGCACACCAGCGCACTGTCTGCCTGTGGCCTTCAGGGTGTGGGTTCTGTGAATCTGGACCAACAGTCAATGACTGGTGCACGGTGGTGTGATTTCAGGAAAGAGCTGGTTGTCCTCTGTGTGTGGCTCTAGGGAGGACAGGAGAAGGTGCTGGTTCAGAGAGGTAGGGGAAGTTGAGTCCTAGGGACATTGCATTTGTGGCAAGCAGCTTGCCCATATGACAGGTGGGTGTGTGTATGTGCCTGTGCATGAGGGCCCATCTGTCCCCCAGCCACTGTCACAGCCTATAGCAAGATGGGTGCAGGCACAGGGTTCCCCTCCCTGGAGGAGTCGGAAAGGGGCAGGGTTTCCTCCACACCCTGCTAGTTGGAGCAGGGTGGGGCTTGCTCTTCCCTATCCTAAAGGGGTCACGTTTTCTGGTTTGACCTCACTGGCCCAGCCCTGGGGTTGGGTCATTGCTCAGTGCCTGCCTCCAGATGTGAAAGCACTCTCAGCAGTGGTTCTGCCCGTTGCAGGGGTACTCAGTGTCTGTTCATAGTGGTTCGAACAGGCATGCGGCAGTTGCTTGCTGAACCACTGTGTTTTTATTGCCAGCACATCTCTGCCACTTCTTGTGAAGCAGAGGCCACTGGGGTAGAGTCTTTTGCTGGTTCATGTTCATGAAGCCAATGAGAAAAGCCAGGTTCCCGGCATGGTGGTGCACACCTGTAATCCCAGCACGCAGGTCCCTGAGGTAAGAGGATCACTGCAAGTTCAAGGCCAGCTTGAACTGCATAGTATAACCGTGCCTCAAAAAGACAAACAGAAAGAAAACACAGGTTGGGTGTCAACCACACAAACTGTTTAGTGGCCAAAGAGTGAAGAAGCAGGACTCTTGTTCACAGACCAGCCTCTCAGCCCCCATGGGGCTCAGTGGGGAGTCCTGGACAATGGGCAGCTGCCTTCGAGGGAGGATATTCAGAGGTTTGGGGAAAGGAGCAGCAGTTTCTATGTTCTTCATTTGTAGGGTCCCAAAGTGCTCTGTATTCTTCCTTTGTAGGGTCCCCCTGGCAACAGTACCACCATGGTAATGGTGGGCATGGCATTCTGCCTTGAGATAAAGCCGTGAAGTCTGAGGTCCATTAGAAGTTTCTGAGCAACCGTTATGGACCAACTTGGTCCTCCTGAGCAAATTGCTGTGAAGACACGAGGTGTCACTCCCTAAAGACTTGCAGCCAAGTCACTTGCAGTCAGGACAGGGTTCGAAAGACAGTTGTGTAGATATTTTACTGGATAAAACAGCCAGCCTAGGAAGGCCAAGGTGAGCCCTGCGTTACCCTGTGTTACCCTCAAGGGCACCTAGGCTTTTGGAGGGAGGCAGTTATATTGTGAATCTAGATGGGCAGCTCCTAGTGCAGTAGGTTGGAGAGCCCTTGGCCTGTTTGCGTAGGCAAGGAGCCATTGGAGGCACAGGGCCAGTGCTGTGGAGGGTTAGGGAGGAGGTGCACGTCAGGGGAGCTCTATGTGTGGGAAACGTAGAGGCTAGGGAGGAGGCTACATTGCAGTGGGACATAGTTGGGCTCAGAGCTGGCCTTGTGTATGGTATGTCTGTGCCCTGTGCACCTATGCCTGGTAGAGCCAGGGGTGATGCTTCTGAGAGATTACCTCATGGCCTACTTTGGGGATTAAGGGACAGCCTCTCTGTGTTAGTGCCCTTCCTGTGAGACAGCCCCAAGGGAGGCTGTCAGAGCCCACCTCACTGGGCCCAGGTGTACCTTCCAGCACCCAGGCACCTCTTAGGGCACCCCCTGCCCACCTGGGTGCTCTCCCTGGGCTCACATGGGGATAGGCAGCATCTCAAATCTTGGAAGAGTACCCTTTGCTTGCATCCTGCAAGGTGGATGGCAGGACTGACTTCCTGTCCCCAGGGGATTTGGCTCAAAGGGGTGGGTCCAGACTTGGCAGGGATTACTGTCAGCCCTCATTGCAGAGTTGCCACAGTGCTCAGGCTGACTAGAAGCCTCACCTCACAGAGTAGGTGGGTGCTGTCCTACTCCTGAGGTGGACCCAGAGCCCTTTTGGGAAAATGGGTGTGGGGGCAGGGGGCTGGGAGAAGGTAGGTGCTGTTGGGATTGAAACCAAAGACTCCAAAGGGAAGAAGGTCAGGTCCTGGATGGGGCAGGGCTGAGCTGGCTGGGGCTGGTTGCTCCCATACCACCTGCACCATCTTCACCACCCCTTGAGGGTCTGGGGGCACCACATGGCTTCCTGCCAGCCAGCTGTCCTGCCCAAGGCTTTCGTGTTGTCCAAGACAGGTCCCAATCTAGCAGGAGGTTCCACAATGGGCTAGAGTTGAACAGTCCTGGACACAGCCATGTTGCCTGGGTGGGACACCCCCTCCTTAGACCCAGCCACATCCCAAGCAGCAGTACCTCGGGGAGCCAGCATCCTGGCTCCTGTGTGGGATGGTTCCTGGGCAGGTGGGTAGGTACTTCTCATGGATACTTCTGGAGGGTTCTGGTGGGGGCTCTTTGTGTTTCTTCGGGGTCCAGTGCTGTTCTGCAGTGCTGAACATTATAAGGCCTAAGGAGGCCATCCCACCCCACTCACATCTCACCACCCCTCCCAGGCATGGCAGGACCCAGGCCCGTGGTGTTGAGTGGCCCTTCAGGGGCCGGCAAAAGCACCCTGCTGAAGCGGCTTCTCCAGGAGCATGGCAGCATCTTTGGCTTCAGTGTGTCTCGTGAGTGCCTTGCAAGGTGGGGGTTGGGTCCCAGAGCCCCCAGACAGTGCATACCTTGTGGGGTGAGTCAGCCTGCCTGGGCACCAGAGTGGGGCTAGAGGGCCCTGTGGTCCCCTCAGAGGTGGAACCTCTCTCTTCCTAGATACCACAAGAGACCCACGGCCTGGCGAGGAAAATGGCAGAGGTGAGCTGTCCAGTGGCCCTTAGGGTAGTGGGCACAGCTGTAGCCTGTGCATCATGACAGTGTGGTGTCTAGGTCTGTGGGAGGAACTGGGGCCATAGGACCAAGGCCAGGGGTCCCTGCTGGGTACTGTTGGCATGTTGCTGAGCGTGTAGATGTGCCCATTGACACCTCTAGGAGGCCCATCCTGTGGGACCTGGCAAGATGTCCAGTCCCATACCCCTACTCCCCATAGACCCCAACAGCCTCAAGTCCCCACATTTGTGGACCCTATCAGTCTCCAGTCCCATATGAGCAATTGGGGGTAGAGAAAGGGCAGTGGATGCAGAGGAGAGGGTGGCTGTTGGCTAGCCCAAGATGCTGTGTGGATAGCTTCTTTGTCCTCCCCAGATTACTACTTTGTGACCAGGGAGGTGATGCAGCGTGACATTGCAGCTGGGGACTTCATTGAGCATGCTGAGTTCTCGGGGAACCTGTATGGGACGAGGTGGGCTGTGCTGGGGTAGCTTGGGGTACCCCCTGCCCTGCCCCACCTGTCCCCTCTGCCACCTGCCTGCCAAGGCAGCCTGCTGGCTCTTGTAGCTGGGTGCAGCATGCAGGCTGCACTGCCCTTCTGTGCTGGCTCCCACTCTGGTGGCTTTGGTGAGCAGATAGGCTGGACACATCCCAACCACGTCCTCCAGCTGCCCTGTCAAGATAAGCAGCTGGCCATGGTGATGGTGCCATGTAGGCTCATGCACAGCACAGAGCCCATGAACACCCACTCCGGAAGTGCTGGAGGGCTCCGGTCGAGGGCAGCTCATCCACATGCTGGGTCACCTCCTTCCCTAGCAAGGCTGCTGTGCAGGCAGTGCAGGCCATGAATCGTATCTGTGTGCTGGATGTGGACCTCCAGGGCGTGCGCAACATCAAGAAGACTGACTTGCGCCCCATCTACATCTCTGTGCAGCCTCCCTCACTGGCCGTGCTGGTAGGTACTGGGTGCGGGCAGGTGGACAGACAGATGTCCAGGAGACACTGACCCCAGGGTGCTTTTTAGGAGCAGCGGCTGCGGCAGCGCAACACCGAGACAGAGGAGAGCCTGGCAAAGCGGCTGGCCATTGCCCGGGCAGATATGGACAGCAGTGAGTGCCCACATCCCTCTGGGTCCTAGCGAGGCTAGGGAGATGATATTTGGAGCTCCCACAGGGTGAGGCAGATGGGGCTGCAGGCCTGGGTTCCACTCAGATGGGGGGCATATGGCTTGAGGCCCTGGACAGGCAGGACACACAGCTGGAGGGTACCTCCTTATACCCTGACTATCCCTGTAGGCAAGGAACCTGGCCTGTTTGATCTGGTGATCATCAACGACAACTTGGATGAGGCCTATGCACAGCTGAAGCTGGCACTGTCTGAGGTAGACTACTCTGGCCTTCTTGTGCTCTGTGGGGTGCCTTTCATATGCCCAGCCCTCATTAGTCCTGGATCGCTGACCCACTGTTTTCCTCCTTGGCAGGAAATCAAGAAAGCGCAGGGGCCAGGCCAGGCCTGAGGACCAGCATCCATATCCCCAGCCTGATAGCTCCAGGTGGATCCTGGCTGGGTAGTGTATGGGTCCTGCAGGGGCTATCACAAGATGGACAGAGCTGGACCTCTGAAGGCCACGTGATAGCTTTGCCCCTCAGTGGACGTGAGCAGCTTCCCCACTGTGCTCTAAGGACCCTGAGGTGCTGTAGGTACCTCCTGTACCTTCCCTTTCCCCACCTCCTGCTGGAGCGGGCTGACTTCTGAATAAAGTAATTTTGGCTTAGTGTCACATCCTTGAGGCTTAGTCCTCAGTAGGGCGGGAGACACAGTGCTCTGTGCCCCTCCTTGCTGTCCATGGTTGCTGCTCATAGAGCACATCCTGTAGGGACCAGGCACCTGGGAGGTCCCCTGGGCTGCCTCCTTGCTCCTGTGCTGGTAGATGCCTCAGGCCACAGGCAGTAGTAGGCCAAAGTTGGAGCCATACACCCTTGCTGGGGTTGTAGGGTGTGTGTCCAGGACCACCCACTGTGGGGAAGGTATTGGCTTGGGGGGATGATCCAGGTGCAGATAACTGGGAGACAGATGTCCTCAGTCATCCCAAGGGTCAGGTGGATGGAGAGGGAAGGCCAGAGGACAAGGAGGGAAGACCTGGAACAGCTTCTATTCCCTGTTGCTCCAGCCACATGGGACAATCAGGGATTCAGACCCCAGGCCCAGCAGTGAACAATGGGGCTCTTGAAGGCCCGTCCCCCACCCCCTATTGTGCTTGGTGGCGAGAGCTGGCCTTGGCCCTGGCCTCACATCTCATGAGGGCCAAGAGGACCAGCAGAGTCCAGCCTGCAGGAGGAGGGGTCCCAAGACTTGTTTCCTGGCCTAGAGAAGGTAGGGGCTGTATGGAACCCCCAGCTTTACCCTTGCTCTAGGGAGACGTGACCTGGAACTGTGCTCAGTGCAGCTCCACCAGGCCTCTAGGGGTTCTGAGGACATCATGGGCAGAGAGGGACATGGGGTCCCTAGGTCAGTGAGACATGTCTTGGCTGGCCAGCAGGGATGTTCATTGTGTCCCCAGCAGCTGGGGCAGGGGACACTGAGGTACTTGTCCTTGCCTGCTGTGCCCCAGCTACAAGCCTGCACTGAGCAGCTAAGTCTGGCGGCAGAGCAGGCCTGTCACTGTTACTGGTGTGAAGCCGTGTGGCTGTGCTTCTGAGGCACAGGTTGTCACAGCAGGCAGCGGGAAGAGCAGGGATACTGCCAGCACAGTGCCCTCCCTAGTGGCCTGAGAAGGGCCCAGCAGGCGGGGGGGGGGGCTTTTCCTGCCTTGGTTGCCTCCCCCAGCCCTACCCTCTAGAAGCCCTGGGAGGGAAGGGACTCTGGTGAGGGTCCTGCACCATGCCTGAGCTTGCAGGAGCCCTGGGGGCAGCTGCCAAAGACCAGTTCCACTTTACAGGTTCAGGTGCCAGCTGCCCAGTTGTCCAGAGTCATGGGCCTGTGTATTCTCCCACCTCCCATCTCCAAGGATGTGCCTTAAGTTCCCAGGATCCCACCAGAGGGAGCAGGAAGGCGGGGTGAGGAGGGAGGCTGAAATGGGGTCCGTTGTATGCAGTGTAGTGAGGCAGCCTAGAGAACCAATGGGCAGTGACCACGGACCTAGCTTAAGGTCCCCAGGCCTGAGGTCAGGTGCTGAGGGCTCAGGCTGTTGCCTCTTACTGGGTAGTCAGGAAGTTCCTGGTGGAGGTGGGTGGCTAGGCAGAGGGCAAATGTCGTGGGCGACAGCTGTGACCTTGCTCTAATATGCTTTCCTGGGGTTGGGGGAGGGCCTGTGCTCCAGACAGGGCCAGGATCCAAGTACAGTTTGGCAGAGACTAAGGTTCCATTATTTTCTGGCCCTATGTGATGAGTTGAGCCCTGGATGCCCTGCTGGCTCTGGGCAGATAGAAAAGGATGCCCCTGGGTGGTAGGTGGGATCCTTGCTCAGGCCCAGGGCAGGCAGGGTCTTACAGTCTCCACCCCTGAAGGACTGGGCTGCCTGGTCACCTCAACACCCACAGGTAGCCATGCCACTCACTAATGGGCTACAGGTGCCAGCTTGCTTTCTGCTCCCAGCAGACAGGCCCCTGCTCAGTTCTGTCACAGGGAGATTCTGGGCCAGTGTCACTGTGGGGTATACATGGTACATGGCCAGGGTAAACACAGAGGGTCCCTGCAGCCACCCCTTCTCAGACCTGGTGGACGATAGCAATGCTTGTGCTTTACCATAACTCTGGGATCCCTAAGTCCTGTCCAGGCCACCCTGAGTGTGGCTGGACCTGCCTGCTCCCTAAGTCCTGTCCAGGCCACCCTGAGTGTGGCTGGACCTGCCTGCTCCTCTGAGGAAACGCCAGCTGTCAGGCTTGCAGATTCCCGGGGTAAACACTCCTTTATGGCTGACTCTCATGAAGCACGCAGTGAGGGAGATGTACGAAGCTCCAGCTGACTGCCCTGGGTAACCTGTCACATGGACACATGCAGGCAGTCTCGGCCACAGCTGCGCGAGCCTGCCTCTGGAGCTGTGGTCCCAGGGCTGGCCGGGCAAAGCCCAGATCCATGCCCTGCACCCAGCTGCCTCCCCTGTAGTAAGGCTGAGTGTTAGGGTTCTCGGTATAGCTTCAGGTTTTTGTGCAAGAACCCCTATTGGGCACTGCTCTGGTGAGATTGCCAGTGCTCATGGGTTTCAGAAAGACCTCAGGGCACAAAGCCAATTCAGACTGCCTAGGTAGCACTGCCTGGCTGCTGACCTGGTCACCCCCTGTCCCATGTGCCTTCCCTCTGAACCCAGCCTATGGAAGAACTCACAGTCCTGCACTGGTATGTCTCCTCTGCAGTGTGGGGCTCTACCTCCTCACTGACCCCCCAAGTTACATCCAGCCCTTAGCCTGTAAGCTGCCACGGGGGCTCCCTGTCAGCCTCATGTTCTCATCACTCTCGGGCGTGTGCCTGTTCTTGGGAGTGCATGTATCCCTGGGTACAGGTGACCTGGGGTGAGCACGCACACATGCAGCCTGTGGTGTCCTCTTGTCTCCTCCTTGCTCTGGCTCACAGCCCTCAGGGCCTCCTCCAGTGGACCACAGGTCTCCATATCCTGTGGTCTCCAGGTCTCCCGCACATGTTCTCTGGGAAACTGGCAGGCAGGACATGAGCTCACACTTGTGTCTCCACTATGACCTGTCATCCCTGCAGCAGCTTGCTACAGGGACAGGGCAGCACTGGGAGCTAGCCTTACCCAGTGGGGCAGCTCTTGAGCAGACCTGAGGGGCCTGGCACACTGGTGTGCACAGACATGCTTGCATGTAGGAATATGTGGTGTGCAGAGAGGCGAGGGAGGGCACCTTGCTGAGGGGTGGCGTAAGGCAGCCCCTCCCAGTATATGTGTGTGGATCCAAGCTCCTAGAGCAGGACCTGAACAACTGAGACCTGAGGGCAGTGATGGCACAGGCCCTGCTGTGCAGGAGCAGGGTGGCTGCACCTTTGGCTTGCTGCTAACCTGAGTGCGGGGTGGGCAGTCTCACATGCGGAGCTACCCACGGTGGGTAGGCATTTGGGTCTGACACTCAGCTTTCGGGCCCTGGCAGACACCCACTTACTACGGGGGAGGCAGCTGGGTGCAGGGCATGGATCTGGGCTTTGCCCGGCCAGCCCTGGGACCACAGCTCCAGAGGCAGGCTCGCGCAGCTGTGGCCGAGACTGCCTGCATGTGTCCATGTGACAGGTTACCCAGGGCAGTCAGCTGGAGCTTCGTACATCTCCCTCACTGCGTGCTTCATGAGAGTCAGCCATAAAGGAGTGTTTACCCCGGGAATCTGCAAGCCTGACAGCTGGCGTTTCCTCAGAGGAGCAGGCAGGTCCAGGGGCCTCTATGCTTGCCGGGCCTGCCAGCAGCAGAAGGATGCAGTGGGCCAAAGGCTAAGCACTGCCAGTCTGTATGTGAAGGTGCAGGCTGTGTGCCCATGTGGGAGTGCATGTGGGGCTGTGAGTGTGCATACATGTTATATGCAAGACTGCATGTCTTTTATACCACACATATGAATGTGGCCTTTACATCTGTACACAGGTATGTACCTGCAAATGCTTATGTGAGCATGTATGCACATGGTGTGCATCTGAATTCAGATGTTTCTGTCAGTGCCAAGTGTGTATAGGTCTGCTTACTCGTGCCAAGAGGGTCTGTGCAAGTGTGTAATGGTGTTTTTGCATTGTACGTATGTGAGCACACATGTGGGTGTGCATCTGTACAGACATGCACAGGAAGGTTACATCTGTGTGTGACCCCAAGGGGGCTGCACAGATGTGAGGAAGCAGGGTTGCTTCCTCAGGAACCTGGGTTGCCCTGTTTTCCTCTGGTGTGTCAGGGCCCCAGATACATAAAAGGCAGAGCTCATGGCTCCGGCTGTTGGCCCCACACCTGCTGCTGCTGCTGCTGCTGCTACTGCCGCTGCTACTGCCGCTACTGCCACTACTTCCCAGGCCAGTCCAAGGGAGGGCAGAAGGACACTGTCGTGGTTTTGGGGCTTCTGCCCCACAGCTACCCAGGAGCATGTACCGGCATCTAGGTGAATAAGGCAAGATGGCATCAGGGAGCTGTAGAAGCCTATGCTGGGCACATGCCTGCTGGGGCCTAGCTGGCCTGGGCTGTGGCTAGTAGAGTGTCCCAGCTGCCTGCTGCCTCCCAGACACGGTCCTGGAGTGGGACTACACAAGGAGGGCAAGCTGTGGGCTGCAGTGGTGGAGGCAACCTAGTGGCAAGGAGCTCCTAGAGGATAGGGTGGTTCAGGAGGCAGAGGCCCCTGAGCTGCTGTGCAAGGTGTGAGGAGGGGCTGCTGCGCAGGGTGGGGCCAGTCTGTGTCCCCTCGGCCGAGGGGGCAGCCATATGCTTTCCTGCTGGAGAAGGCAATGCCCCAGCTGCCTTCCAGGACTGGCACTCGGAGCCCTCAGTCAGGTAGGTGCTCCCTGGTAGAGGAGGCCAGGAGAAAGGCCAAGAGCAGGTTTGGGGCTGCTTTGGTAGGCCGGGGTGTACAAATAGGAGGTCATGTTGACCAGATCTGTGTGCAGGTCCCCCACGCCCGCGCCCATGACCAACATGAGCTGGAGCTTCCTGACGCGGCTGCTGGAGGAGATTCACAACCACTCCACCTTCGTGGGCAAGGTTTGGCTCACCGTGCTGGTGGTCTTCCGCATCGTGCTCACGGCCGTGGGTGGAGAGTCCATCTACTCTGATGAGCAGGCCAAGTTCACCTGCAACACACGGCAGCCAGGCTGTGACAACGTCTGCTATGATGCCTTTGCGCCGCTGTCGCACGTGCGTTTCTGGGTTTTCCAGATTGTGGTCATCTCCACGCCGTCGGTGCTCTACTTGGGCTATGCAGTGCACCGTCTGGCACGCGCCTCAGAACAGGAGCGCAAGCGCGCACTGCGCCGCCACCCAGCTCCCCGTCGAGTGGCCCCGCCGGGCTGGCCTGAGCCGGGCGAGGCAGAGCCCATGCTGGGGTTAGGCACTGGCGAGGACAACGAGGAAGAGGAGGAGGAGGAGCCCGTGGCACCCGGAGCAGAGGACAAGACGGGTGCTGGAGACGCAGTGGGGGCAGTGGGGCCCGGGGTGCAGCACGACGGCCGGCGGCGCATCCAGCGCGAGGGCTTGATGCGTGCGTACGTGGCTCAACTGGCGGCGCGCGCGGCGCTGGAGGTGGCCTTTCTGCTGGGCCAGTACCTGCTATACGGTTTCGCAGTGCGTCCGTCCTTCGCGTGTGGCCGCTGGCCCTGCCCGCATGTGGTGGACTGTTTCGTGTCCCGGCCCACTGAGAAGACGGTCTTCCTGCTGGTCATGTACGTGGTCAGCTGCCTCTGCCTGCTGCTCAACCTCTGCGAGATGGCGCACTTGGGCCTGGGCAGCGCGCAGGATGCCGTGCGCGTGCGCCGCGGTCCCGCGGTGTCTGCAACCACCTCGCCCCCGGCCCCGCCACGCCCTGCTCCCTGCGCCCTCGAGCTTGGTGCCCCAGGCCCAGCCTGCCCGCCCGACTACAGCCTGGTGGTGCGTGCGGTCGACCCAAGCCTGGCGCAGCTGGGGTTGCGGACACTGCGGGACCCCGACCACGACCACGACAGCCCTCCCTGCGCCGGGCTTAGCGCCGCCTCCCGGGGGCCCCCGAGGGCGGGCGCCCCAGCATCGGGCTCTGGTAGCAACGCATCGGGTTCGGGGGGCGCCATGGGCGACCGTAGCCGCAAGCCCAAGGCAGGTTCAGAGCAGGGCAGCGGGGGCAGCAGGGACGGCAAAACCACTGTGTGGATCTGAGCATGGCATGCGTGGGCTGCTTGTGTCCCTACCGTGATCCCCAGGGCTGTGCAGAGCTGGGGCCCAGGATGACCAGCAGCCTCTCCAGGAACATCCTGAGCCAGAATGAGCCTTGGGGATTCCCACTGCAGGTCACCTGCCCGTCGTCACACCTCATTGCAGCTTTCCAGGCAGGACACCTGGGCCGGTCAGGTCACTAGTGAGGGACTGTGCTGTCCCCGCCCACTCCCTATAACAATAGATCAGTTTCTCTGCAAAACAGTCCCCCTTTCCCCTCGCCCCACTCCGTTCAGCACAGCAGGGTAACCTGATCTTCCTTACCAGGAAAGGGAAGCCCAGGCAGGCCAGGCCAATTGGAGGCCTTTGCACCCAGCAAGCACTGGAGACTCAGCAAGCACCAAGAGTGAGCCAGGGCTGAAGAGGACCGCACCTTCTTTGATTTACCCATTGTGCTGGAACATCTATGTGCCTTGTGGTATGGACAGCCATAGTGGTGGTCAGGATCTCTGGCTTTGGCGCTGCAGGGCCAGGGCTCTCGGAGCTGCTTATGGCTTCTGGCCCTTCCTGATGCAGAGCTAGCTTCAGATGAGGAAGGGAAATAAAGCCAACTTTGTTTACACAGAGTATGTGCATATGCCTAGTGTCTGAATGGGAATCAGCTCCTTGATGTGCCAACTATCTGTGCCTATGTGTGGCAGTGGGTTCCTGCATACATGTGGGCAAACAGGTGTGACATGTGTCCCCTTCTGGCCACCAGGGGACACAGTTCAGCTCCAGGCTGGCTGAAGCCCTCTCCTCAGGGACAGACTGGACAGCCCACAGACCAAGTCCCTGAAAGTCACCAGACTGGATGGTGCCACTCAGTGCCAGGAAGTGCCCTGGGTGGGGCACACAGATGTCAAGGAGACAAAGACCAGCCAGGCCCAAGGTCAGTCCAATGTTCAGGGGCACAGGTACTCTGCCCAGCACTGGAAGTATTAGGACACTGGAAGGGTTGGCTATGAGGGACATGGAGGAAGGCTAGGGGGAGACCAGTTACTCTAGGCCAGGAGTCACCCCAGTGAAGGCCCCATGTAACTCCCTGGGCTGCAACCCCTCCCCACTCCCAGTCTGTGCCTTGGGGCCAAGCCCTTTGGAGTGCCAAGTCCAACCTCTGATCCTGTGGAATGCCAGCTGCAAGCTGAGGGCCACTTACCTGCTCTCTGGCCCAGGAAGCCAGAGATGGCAGTGAGGGAAGGGCAGCCTGAGAGTGAAGGCAGATCCTGAGCCAGAGTAATGTCTCTTCAACTGGGGGTTATGGCCAGCGCCTGCCAGGAAAGAGCCCTTCAATCTGTATCTGAACTCTGAGGCTGGAGGAGCTGCTGCTGGGGCAGTGAGAGTACTCTGCCAGGAGGTATGATGGCCAGCCATGCCTAGTGACCAGGCACCTGTGTGTTCTCCTCAGCTCTTTCCTGATTGGATGAGGCCCATGTTGGGCTTTCCTCAGACCATTCATTCAAATGCCAATCTCATGGGGAATGACCCACATGCACCCAAGAATGTTTTTAAAAATTTTTAACTGACACATGATGTTGCATGTTCATAAGGTACAGTGTGATGACCAGGGAGTTTTACAGTGGTAATGAACCAGCCATTCCATTTCCTTACACAGTCACTCTGTCTCTGCACTAGCAGCTAAGTGGCTTCCTTTAACACAATCCATTGCTGTGAGCTGCAGGGCAAGGTCTGTCAGATACCTGGGTGCCCATGGCCCTGTGCTGTGCAGAGTGGCCAGTTTTTTGAGAAGCCCAACAATGGATGAGACTGATGGCAACGGGACAGGGAGAAACCAGCACACAGGATCTGAATCTGTCTGTTTCATATCAATCATGCTGGTGGGCCCCGTCCATAGCAGGGCATAGCCTTCTTGTCTCAGCTCCATCTGTTTCCATGGCCTCAGCCAATTGGCTGCTGCTCATGGGACTTTGTAGAGGGCTGGGGTGAGGGACCATGTTCAAAGATACCCCAGAAAAGGGGGGAAGCCCCATGGAGAGAAAAACAGGAAACCCTGGGAGGTAGGGTCTTGGACCCCCAGCCAGCCCATTTCCATCCTCTGTCTGCTGTGCTCCAGGCCTTGTAGGAAGTTGCTGAGGACAAGAGGCCTCTACAGCCTGCCAAGTCCCCTCTCCCTCATGGAGGCAGTGACCCAGGCCCCAAGCTTTGTACTGGTGGCTACAGGGCCACTGGAGATGGTGCTGGTAGGGTTGCTGCAATAGGTCCAGGACGTCTCTCCCGGAGGGGAGTGAGTCACTGACAGAGTGAATGTGGGGCTGAGCTCCATTTCCTCTCATTTGAGCCTATCAGCATTTAAGCAGCCTGTTACATTCCTCCAGCACAGGGTGGTTACCTGGCCTTCTTGCCAGATGGTCTGCAGGGGTGAGGGTGGGGAGTCAAATTCTTTCCCTGACCAGGGTTGGGCTGATGTGAGACTGGAGGAATGCAACCTTGCCCTGTGGACATAAGAGATCACCCTCTGGCCCAAAGAGAGGAAGAAGCAGCCTGCCAGGACTGCACATTCCAGCGCCCCGACTGGGGGCCACTAGGAAGGAAGGGCACTGAGGGTTAGGAACCTCTGGGGGCTCCTGGCCTGGCCTCTGTCCAAATACAGGCCAGGCCAATGGGGAAGGGTCCAGAGCCAGCTAAGGCCTTCAGACAGGCAGGAAGGGCCCAGAAGGCCTGTGCACGGGCTGGGGCCCAATGACAGCCGAGGAGCCAACATACAGTCTTTTTTTGTGAGAGCTACCTCTGGTCTTCAACTGTCCAAAGTTAACAGCCTCTAGTGCATGGAAAGCCCAGCCTTAGCCCACGGGGATGATAGTAAGCTGTGACAGAGTCTTTGGCTAGTGTATGCACACTTATAAACCAGCTGCCCGAGGGGCTGAGGCAGGAGGGTCACAACATGCACAAAGCCAGGCTGGGTACTTAATGAGACTCTGACTCAAGAAATAAAGAGCTGGGGAGGTAGCTCAATGGTAGGGCGCATGCCTAGCATATGCAAGGCTTGAGGTTTCATCCACAATACTGGACACCCTCCCCCCCAAAAAATTCTAGTTTTAGCAAGAACCCTGTAGAGTTAGTGTACTCAGAATGCCCCATTCGACTCCCAAGCCATTGGGGCTCCTCGGGCTCACCCCAGCCACCAGGAGCCTCCAGCACAGATCCACCCAAACGCCCTCATTTTCCACATACGCATCCCACCAGCTCCTGGGCCAGGGAATCCCACTGTATGTACTGTTCTCCTGTGCCAACCACCAGGGCCCTGGATAGAGGCTTCTTTAGCATCATCTTCAATCCCACCCACCGCCTGGTGCTCAGGGTCACAGACAGGCCCTTCTAAGCTGCAGGGTACCCGTAGAGAGCCTGAGGCCTGAGGCCCGCAGGGCAGGGACAGGTGGCTCTGTCCACCAACCCTTCCGCCCACTTTGCCCCGCCCCCGCTCCTCCCACTTCTTAATGTCGGCGGCCCCCACCAGGGGCCGCTGTGCCGCCTGCTCTGCGTCGTTTCAGTAGTGCTCAAGATGGCGGCTGCGACGCTGCTGCGAGGCGCAACTGTGGGCCCTGCCGGCCTGGCCTGGCGCTGGCAGCTTCACGCGGCTCTGAGGAACTATCTGTCCCACGGCTCCAGATGTTTAGGGGGCGCCTCCGCGGACGGAGCGACTTGGACCTGCTTCCCGCTACACGAGCGCGCCCTGCTGCGCGTGCGCGGCCCAGACGTGGCGCCTTTCCTGCAGGGTCTACTGACCAATGAGCTGCCGCTTCCGGGTCCTGCCGCTAGCGCGGTCCCGCCTCCCGCGCGTGCGACCTATGCGCACTTTCTGAACGTGCAGGGGCGCACGCTCTATGACGTCATTGTATACCGGTTAGTGGAGATGGGGTGCGTCCCCGAGGGGGGCCCGAAGCAGGGCTGGGAACGGGCGGTGGGAGGGCTCCTGGAAGACCAACCCTCCCCACGCAGAGGCTCCCAGTGGAAGTCGCCAGGGACCGGCCAAGGACTTGCACACAAAGATGCTGAGTGACCTCACGGCGGGTACTTTCCGGCAAGCTCCCTCGGCCCTGTCACCTTGCCTCAGTGCGTGCCTCCAGGAGCCGCGTGCAAGCCCGTCTCCTAGTGAGGCTACACCGGCCGTGTCTGGTGTTGTGTTGTCATCGCCACATGGTCTCCCGGGTATCTCGTTTTAATCTGTGGAGTTTGCCTCTCTGAGGCAGTGAAGCCGTACAGGAGGAGCTAGGCGTCATTTGCTGTTTTGTAGTCGTTCGGGTCTCCTTGCTGTAGTGGGGTGCGGGTGGACTTAGCGTTCTTTGGTTCTCTCCCCAGGGTGGGCCTTGTGCCCACTGCACACCCGGGTTTAGCGCAGGTCTCCAGATCTCGGCACTGAGGATGGAGCAGCTGTGATCTCTGGAGGGTGAAGGCTGGTGGGTCCCCTGACCAGCCCAGCTACCTTCCTGGCACTTTGTTCCAAGTGAAGGATTGCAAGCGTTGGACTAACCAGATCCTTTGAATCTTTTCTGCCCTTGGGCGCCTCGGAACTGCCTGCTGTCCTTGCCGGGTCCTTGGCAGGATATATGGACCTTAGGCCTTGGCTGCCTGGTCTTCTTGCTCCTCCAGCTCCCTAGAGCCCCCAGCTTCTGCCCCTGGTCAGGGTCCTGTGTGGTGGGGTCTCCTCCTGGAAGCCCAAGTAGGTGGAGGCTGTGTATCCCTTACCTTCATGGGCAGGTGGCACCCTGGGCTCAGGCTCTGTGGGCTAGGAGCAGATGCTCCAGGTAGAGTGAGGTTAGATCGAACTCCTGGCTTGTGGTGCCCTCCCTCCTGTCAGTCCATCATAATTACTTTTCTCTCCTTGCTGACACTCACAGGGGATAAGGTTCAGTCCACAGTCAGCTGGCTCCTGGGCAGAGGGAGTTTGCAGAGAAGGAGAATTCATGCCTAGTGGAAGACCATTTTTTCTGGCTCTTTTATACTCTTTCTAGGGTGCTAGAGTTAGGATGGTGCTAAACCAGTCAGTGAGCCAATCACATACCCGTAATCCCAGCACCACACACTAGATCCAGCCACTTCTGCAAGTCTCATCCTCCCCCCCACCCCCCACAATGACTGCAGGAGGCTTTAGGGGACATCCAGACACAGTCATGATGCAGCCACTCTTGCCCAAGGCTTGCTCCAGGTGGGGCTGCAGGGCTCTGAGAAGAGAATGGTGACTTTAGTGTATGTGTATCACATCCCAGGCTTTCATAGCTTTAGCATTGCGCTGAGCTACTTAGGAATACTTGAAAAGACAGTGTATCTTTACCGAATGGGTACAGACTTCTTGCCATTATTCTGAAACAATATAGTTAAGCAACAGTTTATCTGATGTTCCAGTGTGTTAGGAATTGTAAGTGATGTGGCCATGAGTTGACCCAATGTACAGGAGGATGTATATAAACCCAGGGCAGATGCTATAACATTGTGTGTAAAGGACTTGAGCAGGGCCCATCCCACGGAGGGCAACCACAAAGGACAACCACATTAAGGTGTCACTTTGCCAAGGATCTAAAGTTCAGGTGTGATTCGGAGTCCTGTGCCCTGGGGACACTGACATACACTGGGGACCCCATGACCACTGTGTCCCTCACACTCCCATGTCATCTCTCTTTGCAGGCTTCCTGAGTGTGTGCCTGAGTCCCCCAGCTTCCTTTTGGAGTGTGACCGCACCTCACTGGACACCCTGCCCCAGCACCTGGCACTGTACCGGATCCGACGTAAGGTTAAGGTGGAACCGTGGCCTGAGTGCTGCGTGTGGGCTGTGCTGCCTGCTGTTGCCTGGGCTGGCCAGGCAGTGTCTTTGCAGGAGAGGGCTGAGGCCACCAGCATCCTGACCCGAGACCCCCGGACAGTGTGCATGGGCTGGCGGCTCCTCACACAAGACACAGGCCCAGACCTAGTACCTGGTTCCATGTTGGGGGACCCCCGGGATTACCATGCACACCGATACCAGCAAGGTATGGTAGCAGTGTGGCAGTGGGAAAGGACAGGACAGGTCACCTATGCCAGTGCCCTCACCTCTGGTGTCCTTCGTTCCCACAGGTGTCCCTGAGGGGGTCCGTGACCTGCCCCCAGGCATAGCCCTACCCCTGGAGTCCAACCTGGTCTTCATGAATGGTGTGAGCTTCACAAAGGGCTGCTACATTGGCCAGGAACTAACTGCACGCACCCACCACATGGGTGTCATCCGCAAGCGCCTCTTCCCTGTGCATCTGGCTGGCCACCTCCCGGCTGGGGGCATTAGGCCTGGCACCCCAGTGCTGACCGAGTCGGGACAGGCTGCCGGCAAGTTCAGGGCTGGACAGGGGGCCCTCGGGCTGGCCCTGCTGCGCATGGAGAAAATCAAGGGACCCCTCCACATTAAGACCCCTGAGAGAGACCCAGTGGCTGTCACTGTGTCTGTGCCAGACTGGTGGCCCACAGCCACCAAGTAGCCTGGATGACCTCAGCTCCTACTGGCCATAGGTCCCTCTGCTGTGCACTGCCTGGAGAGGTGCCCACATGTTGGCCCATGTTGTGCCTTGCACTCTCTGCCCGGGAGGGCTGTGGTTGTGGATGTAGCGAAGAGCCCAAGCCTCCTGCATGCCCACTGACTCCTCTTTGTCTGGCTCAGCAGTCCCTACCTGTCCCCCACTTAGAGGGCGGTAGGCGGAAGGGTTGGCAGGCTAGGGAGACAGTGGAGGTCATTGTTTTGGTCATGCATAGGTGGAAATACATCTGGGGTGGGACTTGTGTGGTCATTGTGAATGGGGACTCAGATCCTGCCGATTGGACATCTGTGCCCTTCCTGAGTGCCCTGTGCCCTTCTGTCTGCTCTGTCCTGGGCCCCTGCTCACCACTGTGCCTTCCTCATGGAGCTAGTGGGGATTCTACTGGGCTCGCAGTGCTGATGGGGTTGCTGTGCACTCTGCAAGATACCCATCCTTCCCAGAGTGACTATTAAAGTGTGTCCACGAGCAGCTCCTTCAAAGGCCAGGTGTCATTTCTGGCCTGATCTGGTAGCCCAGACCCAGGAACCGCTCTTGCTGGGAGCAAGGACAGCAGGTGACCCTGAGCTGTCCTGTGCGGGGCAGGGGCCCTGTGGTCTTAGTGCCCATGTGGCCTGGGGACACACCAAATTCCAGCAGCTAGGGTGGGAGAGGAGGTTTAGAGAGGTGTCCCGACCATCTGGGCTGGGGTAGGAGGTGGAAGACAGCAGCCCCCTCCTTGGAGACCCCAGCCTCCTCACTGGGTCTGCATGCAGGTGGCTAGGCTGAGCCTGAAGTCCCACAGGAGAGGAGGAGCGCAGGGAAGGGGGAGAGAGGGGAGCTGGGCCCCAGGCAGCGTGGGTAGTGCAGAAGGCATCAAACCAAGGAGAGACGTTGAAGTAGGATGGAAAAGAGTCAAGGAAAATTGTAATATTAAAACTACTTTTAAAGAAAAACTGCTACTTCAGGACATGAAAGTTACTCTTACTTTTCTGCCTCTAAAAGGAGTTCCTAAGCCCCATGGGCAGGCCTGGGGTGCCAGCAAATCTCAGCTTCAAGCTTACATGAACTGTGTGCATTTTAACACAACCCATGCAGGTCAGAAGCAGAGTGGACCAGAACACCTGGGGGCCACCCTGAGCCTTCAAACAGACCCCCAGCCCTCTGTGCGAGCACTTCACAGATCCTGCTTGATAAACTGTTGATGTCTGTCTGAAGGTTCCTTTCTAGGACAATCCACACACTGTAGGCAAATGAGCCTAGGTTCCAGCCTGCACTTTGGCAGCCCCTTGAGCCCTGTCCTGGGACAGTGGATGATGACAAAGGAGGTGAGCCCTGTGCCTGGCTCAGTGGAACCAAGCACTTTGCCTCTGGGAATTCAGTGTCTTGCCTGCTGGCCAGGGGCCACAGGACCAACCAGCAATGCTTGCTTTGCCTGGCCTGTGAGTGGGAGGGGACAGGTGTGTGGGGAGCATGTACCCCCCTCACTGTCCCTGGTCACCGGCCTTCATGTTGTCACCCTGCCCAGAGCCTTGCTGGGACACCTAGGGGCCAGGCCAGGCGGGCAGCTCCTCTGTGTGATGCGTCCTGCCAGCTGGGGGTGGACCTGTGTGCACACGCATGCCTGTGCCTTCTGTGATGTAGGGAACCTTTAGTTATGAAAGCAGATGGCATCAAATCATAAGCTATGTGTCTATAAAACCAGAGGGGCCTGAGTACCACATGGTGGGCACACAGTCGGCAGTGCATTGCCTGTTGCTGACTGTGGATGTCCAAGTGACCCCAAACTACCAGAGTGCTTTCTGTGACGAATGTGCCCAGGACCTCACCCTGACCTGACCTTGGGTGACCTCAGATGACCTGTGGCTGACCAGTCATCCTGCAATGAAGTGAGCATGCTCCCTAGTGCAAGTGTGGCTGCTGGGGTGGTCCATGGTGTGGATGGAATCAAAGGTCCTGTGCATGCCGAGAAGCACTCGAGCGCTGACCCGCACCCCAGCCCTCCTTTTTATCTGGTTGGCAGAGTGAATGTTGGGCTGGCGTGTACTTGAGGGAGGGGTCTGCTTGGGCCAATACTTTCAGGGTTCCTGTCTTTAATTTTTGTAGTGTTGTAGTCAGGATTTACAAGGGAAAAATTTCATACAGGACACAATTTATAGGATTCCTTTATAATTAACCAAAAAGTCAAATGCAAAAGAGTATGGGAGATCTGTCCACACACTAGAGACCCAAAGAATTCAGCTGAAGGTCTGGACCCCACAGCAATGTCCCTACAAGATCCTGGCTTTCATGGCAGTGTCCTCCAGGAGTCCAGATGGAAGCCTACAGCCCACAATGTCTAATTTGAATCTGTATCAAGGATCTGCTCTGGGGAGGCCCAAAGTTCAGAGGTGGAAGCTGGAAAGTCTGCGCCAGGAGGATGAAGGATCTGTCCTGGAGGAGGAAGTGATGCTCAAAATAAGTATCAGAGTTCCCCCTAAGAGACCCATAGCCATCCTCAACCAACCGAGCTCCTCTTGACAATGAAAACAGCTGAGTTCCTATCAGGAAGCCAGCATGAAAGCTCCTCCAGGAGACTCAACAGCACACCATCTTCCCCTCCAGTTCTCTCTTTATGCTGTTGGCAGTGATCCTGAGGTGAGCCCACTATACCCAGCACCATGCAGACTCAGTTCAGCCAGGTTCCGAGTTGACCATTAGTGATCTGTCTCATGGGGATGACATTAACTTGGGCTGGGCACCAGTTGTGCTGAGAGGAACAAGTGGTTCTCCTCTGTGTTCTCTTGATGGCAAAGATGTGCCAGCTGAGCAGGGGTGGCAGGGACTCTATGGGTGACAGGCATTAAGATTGAGGCATGTGGGCAGAGGCTGGCCAGGAGTTGTGTGTTCTGTGTCCCACTGCATGGCAAACCAAGAATACTAGTGTACTGTGCATCTCAGAGCAGCTACGAGAGACAAATGTGTTATCACATGTTTTCTATGTATTTGCTTCCTTCTGTCTAAAGATCTCGTGTATGCATGCATGTATTGGTGCATATTAGTGTCACATGGGGATATGTTTGCTCTGAATGTCCTCCACATGGAAGTCGTACGTGTTGAGGGATGGACATGCAGCGTTCCAGTTGGACTTGATCAGCCCACATGGTATCAAAACATTGTGACCCATAAATACCTGCAATTATTGGGTGTCCTTTAAAATAAAAGACTTCATTATAAATTTTAATTAAAAATAAATACAATAGTAAATCCTATCTGGAGTTGAGCACTGGTGTACTTTTCACTGATCCCTTGATGTCCTGTCCACCAACTCACTGGGTGGTGACAGCCAGTAATATAAACTGCGCAGCACATCCTGCAGCAGTGGCTCTGAGCTGAGGAGCTGTGGGGGACAGTCATATGTGGCAGGAAGAGGAGGGCGTGATGGGGCTGTGGCAGCTGGCATGTGAGGTACCTGTTGCCTTGGGTTTGTGAGCAGGTGGGTGAAGGGCATCAGCAGACAGGCACCACCCCAGGGCTTCTGGCCCAGGCATGGGATTGGTGGGGCTGCAGGTGTAACCCTGTACAGTGGATCTTGCCTTGCTGTGTGTTTGCCTGCTCAGGGGGACCCAAGGGAGCTTTTTTTTTTTCTTTTTTCTTTTTTTTTTGTCTTTTTCATTTTTACCGGTACCAGGGATCGAACTCACGACTGCCTGCTTGCAAGGCAGGTGCTTATGCCACTGAGCTAAATCCCCAGCCCCAAGGGAGCTTTTCATAGGTGCAGTCCCAACGTTAAAGAACACAGGTGTGCAAGACATCGGGTATAATAGCAGGCAGCCTGGAGTAGATCAGAGAGCCAGAGTAAGAGCCACCTGCATCTTTATCATATGATTCTCATACAGGTTATTATATCATGTTTACAGTCTCACATGGTGCTGTAACCAGTACGTGCGTGTTTACCTGTGCTAAGTCATAGTTATGTAACTGTATTCCACCGTGCACTGCACTAGACAAGCAGGGCATGTCTTTAGGTGTCCTGAGACCCCCTGAGCTTTGAAGCATCTGAGTGGTTCTTCACACTGTGATTGAAGTTGTAACAGATGATACAGTACCCCATGACTGTCTACTATCCATTGAGGAAACTCCACCAATGGCAACAGTCCTCATCAGGTTCCCTCAGATTTAATTGTATTTCCATGAGTTTAGTTGTATGCATTTTAAGTAAATTAAATAATTGTTGCTGGGGATTTAGCAATAATGGGCTCAAGCCCTTGTCTGGTAAGCACAAGGTCATTAATTCAATCCTTGGTATCAAAAAATTATTATTACAAAGATTATTAGGGTTTGGACCCAGGCCTTGGGCATGCCAAGCACAGCTGTATGACTGAGGTTGGCCTCCAGCCCTATGCAAGACTTAAGAGCATTTTATTGTATTTATTTATTTATTTATTTTGGTGCCAGTGATTGAACTCATGATCTCGCACTTGCCAGGCAGGCACTTAAGCCACTGAGCTAAATCTCCAGCCTTTAAGAACATTTTAGCGCCAGGTGTGGTGGCTCACGCCTGTAACCCCAGCACTGAGGAGGCTGAAGTGGGAGGATCATTGAGAGTTCGAGACCAGCCTGGGCTACAAAGTGAGCTCCAGGCCAGCCTGAACTGCATAGGAAGATCCCCGTCTCAAAAAAGCCAAAAAAAAAAAAAAAAAAAAAAAAAAAAAAAAAAAAAACATTTTAAAAGGCTTATTTATGTACGTGCTTGGCAGTGCTGGGATACAAATCCAGGCCCTCAAGCATGCTAGGCAAGCATTCTACCACCGAGTAATACTATCCAGTGTCACTGCTGACAGACACATCACCACCATCCCCCTCTGCAGCCCTGCATGATGTTCCAATACATGAGGACAAAGTGCCTGACCTAGTCAGAGCCAGCAGACCACGCCATAGCCACACAGGAGGGCTGAGCTCTGGCTGCCAGTGCAGTGGGCAGCCACACTGAACACCAACACGTGTTTCAGAGCGGCTAAGAGAGAGGTCCACCTGCTGTGCCTGCTCAGATGATGATGGTTCTGTGTGTGGCCATGAATCTTCCCTTGTGACAGAATCCTCAAAGCCTTGCCCTACTCCTGACCTGCTCTCCACTTCTCAGATGTTGTCCCTCCAAAATGCTCCCCGAAAGGACTTGAGTGCATGGTGACCTTCCAGGTGCTCGTGTTTTGGGGTCAGCACAGTCCTCTGGAGGCCCACGTGTGCCACCACCTGACCACTTCTTGTCCATGGGCCACCATCTGTTTAACCCGCCCTATTTGCTGTGGCTGAATTTCCACATACTAGTGTCTTTGTGCTCTGGGACCTCAGAATGTGGCAGTGGCGCTGGGCCTTTGAGGAGGTGATCAAGTGGCTGGGTGCAGCCCAGGGAGGGCATTGCCTACCTCACTTGGTGCCCAGAGTCCACCACAGCACCATTGAAGGATAACTGAACCGAGACAAAGAGCTGATTAGCGTAAGATGAGTCATGAGGTGGACCCTAACCCAGCATGACCAGTGTCCGCATCTGTTTGTCACCGTGACAAAACACCCAAAGAACGAAACTTACAGAAGATTTATTGGGCTCTTGGTCTCAGAGGCTCCAAGCTGCAGTCACCAGCTCCACCGCGCTGGGCCCCAGGAGAAACAGAGGGTCTTGCAACAGGAATAAGGGGGAGGCCGCCTTCCTCTGGCAGCAGCAAGCAGGGAGGGGGCCCTTGTTCCAGCCCTGCAGTGTTGGTGGCAGCTCCTCGCCCCTCCAGCCCTGCTCCGAGGCTCTCGGGGCGCCGAGAGAGCGCCCCCTGCTGGCTGAGGACCTTGTAGAGCGATACCTCAGAAAACAGTAGCACTGGGCTCCCACTGAGAGGCCTTTAAGCGGTGAAATCAACAAAATGCACAAAGAATGTGACAAAATGGCACTAGTTAGAACATGAAAGGACACCTGTGCACAGTCTGGGCTGAAAAGAGAAGGAAGGCTGCGACTGTGTGTGACCATGGTGGGCACACCTGTCAGCTGACACCAGGAAGTTCCAGGGTAAATTCTTAGGTGCCAAAGTACTGATGTTGGGAGTATACTTTTCTCTTTTTGTGGTACTGGGGATTGAGCTGAGATCCTTTGCCTTGAGCTACATCCTCAGCTTCCTCCACTTTCAAAAATACTTTTTTAAAGTTTTACAACAGATCTCACTAAGTTTCCCAGGTTGGACTTGAGCTTGTGCCTCAGCCTTGCAGAGTACTGGGCTTGCGGGCATGTGTTATCATGCCCGGCTACATGTTACTGCAGAGGCAGCTCATGGGTTGAGTCCACCTGCAATGGAGCCCACTTCTGTAGTGTGCAAATGTGTCCTCCAGGTCTGTGGCTTGTCTGCCTGTCCCTTGCACCTGGGCTTTTGCAGAGCAAGAGCTTTGGACTCTGTTTAGGTCCAACTGTCAATGCTTCCTTCTCCATATCATACTTTGGATGTCCAGTGTAAAACTGCCTGGTCCTGAAATCTGAAACCTTGCTCCTGTTTTTCCTCTGAACCATCTGTGGTGCTGTACTGCATGTGGACAGCCAGGTAGGCTCCAAGGTGTCTGCAGGCCCAGTCCCCCAGAGTGCTGAGAGGCCCCACAGAGTAGACTGGGTAGGGAGGCTGGGCAGGAGCAGTCCAAAGGTGGAGTGAGGAGGAATTGGAGACAGCAGCTCTGGCCATGAGGGGCAGTAAGAAGGGTGGCTTCCATGTAAAGCTGGGCCAACAGTGGTGGGCACCTGTTCCTATGGAGGTGTCCAGGTGGGGCAGCGGTCCAGGAAAGGCTTTTGTGATAGTCTCTGTCAAGTGGTTGTGCTTGAGGTCACCACCATCTTGACTCTTGCTTTGTTTGGGACTGTGATTACTTTTCTAGTTCTTGACAAAAGTGACTCCATTGTTATTCTGGCGACTTCCACGGTGTGTTTGTTTAGGATCCATTTTGGGTTATTTTGGGCTGAGGTCCAGGCTGAAGCCCCCACATCTGGGGACAGGCATCCTCTGCTGATTGCACTTGCATCTTCCCAGAGGCTGGTTGCACACACTGGAGAGCAGAGCTCCTGGTTCTCTGTTCTGTCCCACTGATCCATGCCTCTGTACCTTCCCAATGCCACAAAGTGCACAGTGCACAGTGAGGGGAAGCTAGAGATCAAGTGGCAACCAGCCACTTGATCACCTCCTCAAAGGCCCAGCGCCACTGCCACATTCTGAGGTCCCAGAGCACAAAGACACTAGTATGTGGAAATTCAGCCACAGCAAATAGGGCGGGTTAAACAGATGGTGGCCCATGGACAAGAAGTGGTCAGGTGGTGGCACACGTGGGCCTCCAGAGGACTGTGCTGACCCCAAAACACGAGCACCTGGAAGGTCACCATGCACTCAAGTCCTTTCGGGGAGCATTTTGGAGGGACAACATCTGAGAAGTGGAGAGCAGGTCAGGAGTAGGGCAAGGCTTTGAGGATTCTGTCACAAGGGAAGATTCATGGCCACACACAGAACCATCATCATCTGAGCAGGCACAGCAGGTGGACCTCTCTCTTAGCCGCTCTGAAACACGTGTTGGTGTTCAGTGTGGCTGCCCACTGCACTGGCAGCCAGAGCTCAGCCCTCCTGTGTGGCTATGGCGTGGTCTGCTGGCTCTGACTAGGTCAGGCACTTTGTCCTCATGTATTGGAACATCATGCAGGGCTGCAGAGGGGGATGGTGGTGATGTGTCTGTCAGCAGTGACACTGGATAGTATTACTCGGTGGGGTGTTTCAGTGCATGCACACAACTGTAGGCCACCTCAGGGTCACTGGCAGATCTGTCATGTCAGGCACATGCTGGTGTTGAGAGACCTGAAGTGGAATCACTGCTGCAGATTGCAGGTATCCTTCCTCCATGAGACCAAGGTACATTCTACAGTGCAGCTGTCCGAATCTGGTCACCTGCTTTTCCGCAGGCATCAGGCTTGCTGCTGCAACTGCTCATGGAGGGGTGTAGGCTGGCGCTGGATATGGCCTTTCATGCTCCTGCTGGAGGCATGGTGAGCTCTGTGTGTAATGTGTGACATTGGGATCTGTCTCCCAAGATTCTACAGTCGATGACCATGGCCTGGGTGGCTTCAGACAACAGACTGAACCCCAGGAGGAACCTCTGCATTCAGTGTCCACATCACTCCATACCCTGTCCATGTGGTCATCCATTCCCCACGGCCTTGTTGCCCAGCGTACCTTTTCTGTGAGGACACCTGTTCTGGACCAAG